CTGTGTCTCACTGTCTGTCTATGTCTCACTGTCTGTTTGTGTCTGTCTCACTGTCCCTTCCTGTCTGTCTGTGTATCCCTGTCTGTCTGTCTGTCTGTCTGTCTGTCTGTCTCTCACTGTGTCTGTCTGTGTATCCAGGACCAGTGCGGTCAGTCCTGTGTTTTGGACACTCACCTGTCTGTCTGTCTCCAGATTCTGCCCCTGTACAACAAGCTGAACCCCGAGGCGTCGGTGTCTCCCTGCTGTGTGCCCCAGGAGCTCGAGCCCCTGACCATCATCTACTTTGTGGGGCGCAACCCCCGTGTGGAGCAGCTGTCCAACATGGTGGTCAAGTCCTGCAAGTGCAGGTAGAGGAGAGCCACCCCAAAAGCCCAGGACATCTCTTGGACACCCCAAAAGCCCAAGATACCAACTCCTGGACTTCCTGAAAGCCCAGGACACCAAAGCTTGGACACCCCAAAAGCCTAAGACACCTGTGCTTGGATACCCCGAAAGAACATGACACCGACTCTTGGACACCCTGAAAGTGCAGGACATCAAATTTCGGGCGTCTCAAACGCATAAGACACCAATGCTTGGACACCCCAAAAGTCCAGGGCACCAACAGCTGGATATACCACAAAACCAAGACACCCCGATACTGCTCCTCTGTCTGTATCCTTCCTTCCACCCATCTCTCTGTCCCCCTGGCTGACGGGGAGACGCGTTCTGACTCCAGGGCTCTCTGCCACTCGGGAGCTACAGCCCGGAACGGACCAGGCCGGACCGGACCGGCCCAGACCCTCCTCGCAGCAGTGTAAATAGATCATCCACAGAGAGGCTGTTAGAAGGACTGCTCTCGATAGCGCGAGCAGATGGATGTCAACCTAATCACAGATAATCTTGCTGTTAGGAGCTGCTGCAGATAAGTGAAATTGCCACCAGTATCTAAAACTGGGCCTTCCAGTGTCCAGTGTGGTCACCTCTGGGGATTACACTGCCCTTAGGTGTCCAGTGGGGTCAGTGCTGGGGGTCACACTGCACTGGGGTGTCCAGTGGGGTCAGTACTGGGGTCACACTGTACTGAGGTGTCCAGTGGGGTCAGTGCTGGGGGTCACATTGCACTGGGGTGTCCAGTGGGGTCAGGGCCGGCCAGAAGACAGATGTTACTGTACCTTTTAAAGAAACTGGGGGAACAATACCATTATCTGCAGCAGTGGGAGGTCATAGGTCGTCTCATCTTGCTAGATATAAGGGCAAAGGATGTAGGATTGTGCGAGTTATGGGGTATTGGAATTCTATGATGTACGGGGGCAAAGGTCATAGAATCATTACTGTACGACAAGGACTGTGGTGTGATGTATGAGGGCAAATGTCACAGATTACAGGTCACAGGTTATCGTGAATATATCAGAACAAAGGTCATAGGTTAATGTTATGTGTGAAGGCAATAGTCACAGTTAATGCTGCTGTATTTAAGTGGGCAGAAGTCCTAAATTAACGCACTGCAGGAGAGAAAAGGTCACAGCTGAAGGACAGATCAGTGAAAGGTTGTATGACCTCCGGTGTGTGGCTCTGACATCACCTTCCTTAATAAATAGGTACAACACCAACTGTCGCTCTCCCGCTGGACAACATCACGGTCACTGCTTTGCCCTGGCTCACACGTCCAGCAGGCCGACTCCACTGACATCACACAGAGGGTCCGGCCGCGTCCCAGCAGAACACTGACCACTGCAGATCTCCGTGCCCCCTGTGTCTGCACAGGCTGGCTGGGAGAGTTGGACGCTGAGACACTGACCACTGGACACCTCAGTGCAGTTTAACTTACAGGACTGACCACGCCGATCACTGGACATTGCTGAAGGCGGCTTGTGTCAGAGCCAGGACTGGGCGGAGACGACCGTGCTACACCTGTATTTGTAAGGATGGAAAGCTGATGAAGATCCAATCTGGGCTCGTACACACATGGTCGTGAGTTATAAACCGTTAATAAAAGTTCAGACAGAGACTTGTCGTGTGGCGTGTTCAAATAGAATTGATGGTACAGTATGTGTGTCTCTGTGTGTGCTAGTGTGCGTGACAGAGTGTTGCAGTGTGTGTCGCAGTGATTGTGACAGTGTGACTGTGTGTGACTGTGTGTTGCAGTGTTTGTGACAGTGTGTTA